AAGTGTTGTATAGGAATAAAGTGTCGTTGCCGACATTGTAGTTTGAACCCAGATCGCCAGTGAGCAAACACGGACGATTCCATTATTAAATAAGTAGATCACGTGATCGTAAAGGAAACGTATAAATTAGTGTGACGTCTAACTGATTGGTATTCTCCATACTATCCACTATACTGTTTCTATATACTGATCATTATACAAATTACTATTTGGTGATTACCATTTGAACAAGTATTATTAGTGCAGTTATTTTTTGATGACGTTATTACTACCAGTATCTGCGTTTACAAAGTCTCGTCTACAACGAGAATTTAGGAATAGATAACGAGAATTCGTTGACCTAACGAAAGTTACAACGAGTCAGCGTCTAACATCATAAAAATAAGAAAACCCTAATTTGGACAAATTATACACAATACCATTTGGATAATTTTATAATAAGACATTGCTATCTACAAGATTTTTATTGCTGGCATTTTTTTTTCCAAAAATGTATTGTTGGTAATATTTTTCCCAAAAATTTATTGTTGCAAATATTTTTCCCCAAAAATGTAGTTGTCGTATAGGAATAAACTTTCGTTGCCGACATTGTAGTTTGAACAGAGATCCCCAGTAAACAAACACAGACGATTCCATTATTAAATAAGTAGATCACGTGATTGTAAAGGAAACGTACAAATGGGGATTAGCGTGACGTCTAAGTGACTGCTATTCTCTATACCGTTTACTATACTGGTTTTCTATATTGATCATTATACGAATTACTATTTGGTGATTACTATTTGAACAAGTATTATTATAGCAGTTATTATTTGAAGACGTTACTACTACCAGTATCTGCGTTTACAAAGTCTCGTCTACAACGAGAATTTCGGATGTAATAACGAGAATTCCTTGACCTAACGAAAGGTACAAGTCAGCGTCTAACATCACAAATATTATTCACACACCCAAGCTTACAGCACCTGGTATTTCTAAGTGTTTATTCATCAAGGTACTGAAATTTATTGATTACTCGTTGGTGATGAAAGGTTTAGTCAGTTAAGTGCCATACTTGATACCCTCTTGGGAGATCAAGTTTCTTTAGATTCATGACTGACCGGGCAGAGGATTTTAACCACATTAGATTGCCGGTTCTTTTCTGTTTCCAGACTGGTTTCCAACCATGGCTATAGGACGCAATCCGTCCTGCTATAATATCCATAGCTGGGGGACGTATAGAAAAGGTGGTTTCATGGCTTTTACGAGGGTATTTAGCAGTAAGTGAATGTAATGAACCCGACTGAAATTCGAAATTGGACCTCCGATTTCTCATTCCAGTGCACCACACCACACATCCCAATTTTTAGGATGTCATGGCTTAATTTCACCACCACCACCACCATCACAGTCATCATCACCAACACCGCCATCAAAATTATCACTACCACCACCACCACCATCGTCCTTACATCATCATCAACAACATCACTATCAACATCATCCTCATCACCACTGCAGCCATCATCACCTTACTCACTACCAAGATCAATATCTTCATTACCACCACCATCATCATCACACCACCACCACCATAATTATTATCATCATCATCACGACCGCCATCAGCATCTTCACCACCACAACCAACATCATCATCAACATCACTATCGTCATCACCACCATCATCATCACCACCATCATCATCACCACCATCATCATCACCACCGCCACTACCACCACCACTATCTGAAGCTGTATCATCATCATTATCATCGTCGTTGTTTATTATTATTATTATTATTATTATTATTATTATTATTAATTTACTGAATATATAACAAAGAAAGAGAATTTCCCCTCTGGTCCGAAGTGAGTTAGTAAATCAATATATATATATATATATATGTGTGTGTGTGTGTGTGTGTGTGTGTGTGTGTGTGTGTGTGTGTGTGTGTGTGTGTGTGTGTTAATTTATATAGTATATTAATATAATATATAATATATATAATTATATATATATATATAATTATATAATATATAATATATTATATACATACGCGTGTCTGTGTATTAATTTATATAATATATTAATATAATATATATAATATCTTATAATTATATATATAGTTATATAATATATATAATATTTATATATATATATATATATATATATATATATATATGTGTGTGTGTGTGTGTGTGTGTATCAATTTATATAATATATTAATATAATATATATATATATAATATATATAAATCCCTAACGATTTTTAGAATAACTTATTTTGAAATTTACTGAGTTTATAAGCGCATACATTCTTGATATTAGATGCCCCTAAATTCAATCATTTTGATAAGGGGTGATAGGGTATTCATTTTCATAGACAACCTGTGTATCAAAATATCAGTTTCACTCAAAATCAAGTTATATTAACGTAGGGTAGGGATGGCTAATCAATAACTTATGACATTCGTTTTCCGCTTGTTGTCTGGGTTTTTTTTTTTTTTTTTTTTTATCAGTGACGAAATGTTTTTTGGTACTTTTATTTTGCTGTTTAATTTATTATTTTATACTCAAAGATTTTTTTTCAAAAGGGTCGTTTGAATATCAGTAAGTCGTATTTTTAATATTTAATATCTATTCTTAGAATTATTATTCATAATTCTAATTCCTAAAAGACTATACGTTTTTTCTTAAACAAATCAATATATTAGAATTACTTTCTTATTTAAAAATTATTATTCGGAGGTCATGTATAAATATCTGTTTCATTTTTCCTTTTTTTTTCTCTTTTTTTTGTCATATTTAATCATTATTTTAACGAAATTTTTGACAGTGTCCGCAGAAAATTGCAATTTCATTTCTTTAAGTAATTTTTTATTTAACATAAACTTTATAATATATAATTTCTCATGTATACACAAAGGACATGGGTCATTTAATGACCTACAAATTCTCGCTTTTCTTATTAATTTCCATTTTACAGTAGGTTTTTTCTTGATTTCCTTTAAGTGCCAGAAATATTTAGATAGGGACGTTTGCTTTCGGTATTTACTTATTTTAAAAGAACTTTGATGTTGGTTCCAACGCATTTTGAATTCATGTTTTGTGCACCCAGTGTAGACTTTTACGTTGTCTGCATCCTCAATAGATGAGATATTGCATTCGTACACTAATGACATACTGCGACATTTCTTACTAAGAGGACAGTTTTCATGATTTCTACAGTTACATAATTTTTTCTTAATTTTCATTTGTTTTTATTATATTCTTTAAATTTCTTGATTTTGTTCTAAGTGTTTATTCAAGATATTAGCATTAACTAAACCTATTCATCGTCAATCTATAATTAAAATTACCTTTATGTATCGGAAAAAGAATAAGTACAAATTCAGCAAATGAGAAAATTTTCTTTAAACATAGTAATTTCTATAATAAAGTTCTAAATAATTGTGGCTACAAATGTCCAAAACAAAATTATATAAAAAATGAAAGTGGAAACCGTAGAAAAAACAAAAGTAGTAAAATCATTTGGTATACACTTCAATAAAACCAAATGGTAAAAATAAATAACAAAAATTCATGGCATTAATCGTTAGACAGTAAACTCAGTACAGTTTTTAATAAAAATACCCCCAAATTACGTTACAGTTGTACTGAAAACTTAGAAATGTTTATTAAGAAACTTAATGGATTAAAAACTCTTATGATCACTTCGAAATCACAATGGGATCATTGGACTCTGCAGAGTCTTCCTTAAATTAGTATAACTGACATTAGTATATACAAAGGATTAGTATTTGGTTTTTTTATCAGGTGTGTATATATTATTCATTAAAACTAATGTTATATCAAGGAAGTTGACCTTTTTCAAATTAGTTCTTACAATAATTTTTAACTTCAGGCATTTAAATTACTTGTATAATAGTTTTATAATTTTATCAATTTTAAAATTTGTAGAATTCTTTATAACCATACGCCCAACGTCTTTGTAAATTCTAATGTCAGTTATACTAATTTAAAGAAGACTCTGCAGAGTCCACTGATCCCATTGTGATTTCGAAGTGATCATTAGAGTTTTTAATCCATTGCTCACCCTTATGTATGAGTACCAAGTTTTTCGCATTTAATATAATGCTTTTCTCTTCTTCTCTTATGTCCGAGTATTGGGTAGCAAAATACTCTACAGAATTGTACTGAGCACCTTTTTTTTTTTTTAAATAAAAATAATTGATAAGAACAACGGATTATAAATGTTACAGTTCTTTCTCATTATTTTGATATAAATATTTTAGCTTCCATTTTTTAAACATGGTTATTACTGTGTAGCGAATCAGTTAATTTATAATATTTATGTTCTATAAATTTACATTGGGCACTGTTTTGTAAAAATACAAATAAAAATGATAAGAATACCGGATTATATATCTTACTGTTCTTTCTTTTTATTTATATATATGAGGCACGGGTGGAGTAGTGGATAGCGACTCGGATTGAGGAATCGGAGAGCCGAGTTCAAATTCCTGTCGAATCCATTACATTCACTTACATGCTAATGCCCTTGGGAAAGGTATGAAACCTCTTCATCTAATGGGTAAATAGCAGGTTCTATAACCTTGGATAGCAACTGGTTCAGGAGAAGGACAACTCTGAATTCAAAACATGTGGAGGGTTGTTTGGGGTCTTTGTGGCACGTATTCGACCCTTCAAAAAAAGTGTGGTTGGTTGTGCACAAAGCCTTCACCACTATAATCAAATCATATGTGCTGGTACTTGGGCTGTCAGTTCATAGGAACTGAGCTGCTGATCCTCATACGTCGAATACGGCGGGAGAGTCTACCATATATTCTGCTGAACTTTACGTTTTTCTGTTAGGTTTCCACGTGGAACTCTTCCATACAATAAAATATTCGAAGTTGCAAAAGATAAGAAAATTTGACGGGATGGGGGTGGGGGCATCTCTCTACTGAATTAAAACTTTAAAAGAAATTAAACTATCTCTTTTATTGCGTCTCAGCAATCAACTGTGTCGTCTGCGAGTTAATCCGACGACCTTTCTTTCTCTTTTCGTCTTCTTCTTTTGACGTACAGCCATTTTCCCAGTCGGCATTTCTCCCTCTTTCCCCATTAACTAAAGTCTGGCGTTTTGTTCTTTTGAAGACAGGCTTACAAGCGAGGCATGTACGGAGAGAAATACCAGTGGATTATCATGGGCGGATATCCGGACGATTGGTGGCGGAAATTCGACGAGAACTGCACACGTGACCAATTGAACGAGACGATTCACGGCTATATAGCCACGGATATTCTTCCGCTCAGCAGCAGCAACCAGGTCACGGATTCAGGATGGGTAAGTAATTCCTTTAATTCAGTCAGTAATACATCTTCCTCGGTCTTATATATATGTCTTGATTTCGATACTCATATAGATATATAACTTTTATATGTGAACAGTGTGTGTTTTAAATATATGTGTTATGTAAATATTTTTTTTATAACATAGAAGCGTAACATTCTTAGTTTCGTAGGAAAAGCATTTCGAGTTGTAACGTTTGTTTTGTTTGTCTTTGAAATATTCGTTCAGTATCGTCGATTTCTTTCTCTATCATTTATCATCCAAATATTTTTAACAACATTTGCCGATAATTTTATTCTTTTATCCTTTCCGTCTTTATTGATTGTAGTAAGATAATATTGTTAATGGAAGAGGATGTGTTTTCAAACTTGAAAGTAAAGGGTTTAAAGAAATAGCGGAAATATTGTGACTATAACAACCAAGATGAAGATAACAGTTTGAATAAATCAATGTATAATAATGATAATTTCTCATCTGAGAAATAGCAGAAATGTTGTGACTATAACAACCAAGATGAGGATAACAGTTTGAATAAATCAGTGTATAATAATGATAATAATTCCTTGTCTCAGAAATGACACCTTTTAACCCTAACAATCAAGATATGTCGAGAATTTCAAATAATCGACGTATGGTGATCTCAATTCTTCATGTCAGAATCTGAGACGGATTTTTTTTCTGACAGGTGATTGGCGTTAGACTACTTTATATCTGAGAACTCTTTAAAAATTTATTTTGAAATTTGTCATGAAAAAAATGGTCAACATCATAAACGTCTCTCTGGTGCATAATCCGATTTTGGGAGGCCAGCCGACCTTAGATTTACTTTTTGCCCTTAGGTATAGGGTGATAGTTGATTTAAAGCCAAGAAGTATGTTGTCTTTTTAAATACTTTCGATATAATTCGATAACAAAATAACACCATTTAGGACGGGATACAGGAATATTACGTCTTCAGCAGTAAGCTGGGGAAAAAAGTTCTCTTTTAAAAGCTAAAAGAAAGAATTTTTTAAGCTGTAGAAAGCCCCACAAAGAAACATTGTTCTACGTTGAAATGGTAAGAGGAATGGTAAGAGGAATCAGTATGCTTTCTAACCTTCTAGCCATCGGATTGTAGTCAAAGTGTAGTATCTGTTCTCCTTTTGTCTAATGGTAATGATAATATTAAGAGTTTCCTTATAAGGAAACATTCGCCATTCTACTACTAGCAGCCCTACCCAGCTGGTTAATCAGGAAAAGCATTCAATTAGAATGGAGCAAAAACAGCATCATGTTCAGATGTAACAGAATCTATCTTCTTCAATTATTTTAAAGTACTTTCATTAAAAATCATTTTGAATTAATGCAGTTACTGATATAACAGAAGTAGTCTGTATTTATTCAATCAAAGTTAGCCGACGACATGAAGGGGTAAAACAGGCAACATGAAGACGCACTTCAGACCACAATTAGTTCGGAGTTTTTGAAATTCAATTTCTCAGTGTGCTACCAGGGATGTAAAAGAGGATACATTTATAAAGCGATTGTTAAGTTTGATAAGAATTGTTTGAAATATCAAGGAAAAATAAGAAAGAAACCAGTAAAATTCGCCATTTCTACACTATTTACGCGGGTTTTCACTATATGGCTGGACTCAATTATCAAGTTAAATGACTGTTAAACAATCAACTTATTGCTGGCTACAATTGAGTGCAGTGCGTATTGGATCGTGTGATAATTGAGGTAGTTTTTAGTTTTAAATTTCTGTTGAAATCGATTTGTGTTGAAATCGACTTTTGGTTTTTCGCAATTTTTAGAAATAAAGTGAGGTATCTTTGAGCTCGTCATGATGTAAGTAACCTACATACCGAGTTTGAACGAAATCGGAGGAAAAAAAGGTGAATTTATGGATATTTGATCGGCTTTATCGATTATTGATTTTTTTTAAATTATCGATTTTTATGCTAAGAACCTATCCTTTAAATTGTACCATATTTGTACCAAGTTTGTTCAAAATCGATAGGATGGATCTCGATGAAAAGGTATCATAGTATCAAAGGTATCAAAGACAGACATACAGATATCCTCTGTTATATATATACATATATAGATAGATAGATAGATAGATAGATAGATAGATAGATAACTCCTTCTTCATCTCATACCATCGGACTGGAATCAAAGTGTAGTGTCTGTTCTTTTACCTAATGGTAATTGTAATATTAATCGTTTCCTTGTGTTAAAGCATTGGGCATTTATAGCCTCAATTACAAATGTCATGTTTTCGGTTGAAATTTATAAAATCTTTATCTGAAAACACAGTTTTAGGTAAACAGGTTTCTCATGCCCGTTAGCTATTATCGCTCTATCCAGTACTGACATTAGCCGTTTCCCTACAAGGAAACATTTGGCATTCATTATCCGAGCAGTCAGTACTGATTTCAATTGAAATTCATAAAATCTTTCTCTGGAAACACAGTTTTAAGAAAACGGGTTTCTCACGTTGAGTAAGGGTTGTCTCCCTTTCCAGTCTCAATGGGCGTTTACTTCCGAACTTTCCATTTGAAGTGGTGTCGAATGTTAACACCTTATATCATTATTTTCACTTCGAGTTAGGTGTGCTATCCATTTTAGTAGTCGCCGCTTTTGGTCGTTCTCAGATGATGTGGTTTTTGTTATTTGGTACAGATCTCGATTTATTTGAAAAATAGATTAGGAAAAAAACGGCAATATTTAATGTGATTGAATCGCTAAATAAAAATGAATTACTTAATACAAAAACAGGAATGGATATAAGACAAAGATTCGTTTTCACAGAAGATTTATTTATCCCTTACAGCTGGGTGAACCTCAGAGAATTCGTATTAGTTCAGTATTATCGATTTCTTTCCCTATCATTTATCATTCAAATATTTCGTCTTCTCAGTTTCCTTAATATTTAGCAAGTAGCAAGTCAAATTATCATTATTTGTCAAAGACGGAAGAGACGAAATGAGGTCGTAGAGACGATAACGCGTCTGATTTAGTGTAGTGGAAAACATTGTCAAATTTTTAATCTCTTTATTTATACCACTACTTAAAATAATAACCAGAATTCATATTTATGATTCTTCGTGTAATATTTTGTTAAAGTGGTTAAGCTCACATATTTCTACAGATATTTTATTGTCGTAGAATTCGCCATTGAGTTATTCAATCATTAACTGAAGAATTAAAATTCACCAGAAAAATACAAATAGAAAAACCGGAAAATGAAAGAAAGGGGACAATGCAGTGTTTAACGTCTGTTTCAGTGAAATAGAAAAACCGAGAAGTTTTCACGGCTATTTCTAGCTAATAATAATGGCTGACAATGCTTTATCTAATTACAATTATACATGAAATTATTGATAACGGTTGACAATGATTCATTGAATAAAATTATAGATGAAAGTAAATACTCAAATATGAATAATGATAATTGGCAAAGTTTCCATCTAAAGTGGGTGGGAAACACTACTTGGTTTTAGTGAGAAAATGAATAAAACAAGAAATAAATAAAGGAAGATAGAAGTGTTTAACACCTCCTGCCAGTACCTCTTAAATAAAGGACTATGCCAACTTGATCGCGTGGAAAGAGAAAAGTCATTGCTTGGTTTCAGTGAGAAATTAATTTGGAAATAGCTAAATTTATCAATGTTGTCAGCGGCAGATTGTCTGTTCTTTTTTTTTTTTTTTTTTCATTGCAATTTCTCCTAGTTACTATCACCGTAAATAATTCCATGCAAGCATATTTAAATATTGTATTTACATTGCCGTTTGTTTTTATAACAACGATAATCCATTTTCTTGTTCTGTTTTTTTTTCCGTTATTGAAAGCGGCTGACATTATCCAACTTCCTTTGTTGCCATTATTTTGTATTTATTGTTTGTGCAAGTGGCCATACTGTATATCGTCTGCCTCAGTCAATTTTTAGTTTTATCTTTTTCGCTTGCTCTTATTTATTTACACGATTGTTATTTCATTATATGGTGTTTGTAACTTCTTTTATAGCCGTAAAGGACATTATTATGTGACACTATTGGTTTTATGTCTCATTTATAAGGATTAATACATTTCATACCGTTTTTTTATATGTTATTTTTTACCTTTCTTTTAACGTAAAAGGTTTTAGACTTGAGTTTTAATCATTAACGCCTGTAATTTTCTGTATATTTTATTGTTTCTATTATATATGAACACAGAGAATTGGTCCTTTCACGTTTCATGTAAACTAAGGAATAAGATGTATCTAAGACAGGTATTCCAAAACTTTTTGGCGTCATCGCCCACTTTCACGTAGAAGAAATTTTCGAACGCCCATTTGTACAGTAAACAAGAGTCCGAATAATGTAAATAGTGTACAGTAAACATTTAAAAGCATATCAAAATTGTTTGGTAAAAGTTTGTTACTGGTACATAATCTGTGTTTATGATATAGTAAAAACTATTAAAGGGAGGTAACTACTGCTACTAACGTATTAAAGAACAAACAGAAATAAACTTGAAGACTATATATATAATTTAGTTTTAGTTGAAAGTGTTGTCAAAAACATTAAAAGTGTTATGGGACCTTACACATAATAATAATGGACTATTCCATACTTAATAAATATTGAGCCTCAGGAGTAGGCAAGGTGTCAGCCGCTCACTTTCTGAGCGACTGTTCGGTTCAACTCTCTTCCTACGGGCGGGAGGAACCCGAAGGAGGCTACGCCGAAGGGTGGAGTCTCCTTCGGGGAGGTAAAACCGGCCCAGAACCCGTTTATACGGGTTCAAATGGGCTATTTTTTGGCCGAGCCTAATGGCTCGAATGACTACGTTAAAAATGGCCTTGTGCCACAGGACACCCTCGTGGGGGGGGGGTGACTGAATATCGTCAGCCGCTCACTTTCTGAGCGACTGTT